GACATTATGAAAATTAACTCTACAAACTGGGTTCTTGCATTTGCCGTCGAAAGCGCTTATGCATATGGCTCAGCGCATTCGACGGCATTCGAGGTCCCAGATTCGCGGCTTCAACGCGATTTACTTGTGTGCCTGGTCGTTTATGAATCATTGCGTCGTGTTGTCATTGTTATTTAATGACGAGTGGACCAGCGGATGTATCCTCGCTGCTTGATTAATATAATATAATATAATTAATATAATATATAACCTATAAAGACTTTAAGATTTTCGTCCGTGTGGCAATCAGCCGTTTAGCTTAGTCGCTAAAGTGTCAGGGCGCGAATCCCGAAGACGTGGCTTCGATTCCCACAGCGGCGACAAACTTTTCGTACGAAAAATTTTGATATTTATATAATCTTTTATTTTGTTGACAATGCTTTCGTGAATGAATTAGTTTTGTTAACACATGTAAAAAAGACGAAAAAATCTTGTAAACAAATCATCCTCGTGAAAAGTTCATAAAAGTGATTTTGATCATAAATTCATCTTATTAGAAAATCCAGAATTTTACATTGCAAAAACTTTCGTAATCACGATTTTCACCGTGCATAGTGTCACCCAAAATCAAAATCAAAAATATATTTATTCAAATAGACGCTTGCGCGCTCTTATGAATCGTCAAATTTTACATCAAAGATTATGTGTATAGGTTCGTAAGGTACCACCGGTTCGGAAAGCGGTTTCTGTTGAGAAGAGACCGGCAAGAAACTCAACAGTTGCTCTTTTTCAAAAATATCAGGGTACAATATAATATACAGGTATAATAGTCTTATTCTAGCCTACGTGAGTATCAACAGTATTAACTCCACACATTGGCGTCGTCGAGATATTCCGAAATGGTATAATATGCTTTAATCATCAGTTGATTTTTAATTTTACATTTAAATTGGTCAAGCGGCAGACTTAATATCGACTGTGGGATTTTATTATACATGCGCACACTTTGCCCCATGAACGACTTATTTACTTTTTGTAGACGAAACAATGGCGTAGTAAGGTTGTCCTTATTTCTAGTGTTTATTTTATGTCTGTCACTATTCTTTAGGTAATAATTAAGGTTATGACGTATATACAAAACATTACAATAAATGTATTGACAAGCAACAGTGAGTATATTAACCTCTTTGAAAAGATCTCTGAGTGAATTCCGGGCTCCGATATTGTAGATTGCTCGGACAGCTCTTTTTTGAAGAATAAATATAGAATTTATATCTGATGCACTACCCCACAACAAAATGCCGTAAGACAAGATGCTGTGAAAATAACTAAAGTAACACAACAAGTCTGGCAGTGTCGATGTCTGTTAGCTGCCCATAGTAGTAACCGTTAATCTACTAGGTAAATAATCTCAAGAGTTCCTTTAAATAGTTTGAGTAATATTAATATTGTTAAACTTTGTTTACAAATGCTCCCAACTATACTAAAGTCGAACATTCGCTGCCCGTAGGATAATAAAATGTGGGACCCCGACGCCGCCTGTAACTCTCTCGTACTTACGTGTCTTACGACGAAGTGACAAAAGTACGTCACTATGCTAATAGATAAATCGTAAATTCACCATTGTCACATAGAGATGAATGCTATGTGTTATTTGATTATGCACGTGCCTAAAAAAATTGAAAAACTCTTCGTAAAAGCGTATAATAAGAGTAGTAAACGTAGTTGGGCACATAACTTTGAATACCACGGTACAAAACGCCTCTAATGTCACGCCGTAAAGCACAGAAGGTCAACTTTGCTGCATATCACCATCGATCGATGGCTTGACAGCTTTCGGCTACGGCACAATATCTACTTTTCGCACACATTTTGTGATTGTTTCGATATTTGAAATCTTGAAGGCTACTTAAGTGTTACTACCCGTAACCTGCTCTCGAGCATCAAAGGTTGAATGGAAGAAAATGCTGTTAATAAATGTTTAGCATAAAGTTGGCCTTTGTACAAACATTTTGGTACAATAAAGAATATTCAAACAATCAGCCAATCTATATCGCTTCCCGGCAAACCTTATCCAGTCTTGGACATCAGAGCGCGTTTCTGATGAATCCTTTTGACAAGTTTTTTGATAACGGGATTGAAAAAATAATTTGATTCGATATTCAAAAACAGTTTTCAAACTGCCGCTGCATTTATATGTGATAGTGTAGTCCAACTCCCTCTTTGTAAGCCTTTTAAGTGCTGAATTATCACGTGTTCAGTGGTGAAGAAAAACATCTTGAGGAAACCTGCATATTTTCGAAATAGTAATAAAAAAATGAGCCGTCACGGGACGCCTGGCCGATGTGAAACATCGACATTATTTTGTAAAAGTAATATGCAGAAAAGAACAGATTGTGATAGGAACTAAATATGTCATAATGATAAAATAAAATATTACGATGTTTTTTTCCAGATTATTTATTGAATAAACATTTATTTTCATTAAATACAAAAATTTACGAATTTATTTCAAATCGTGACTTCGTTTAATCAGTGACTTCGGTAATAGTACACACAATTAATTAAAGTTAATTTAATTTATTAATAAATAATTATTAACAATTAATTTAAATTTGAGTAATTAATCGTACAGACTACTGCATATAGACTGTATATATATATACCGTCATATAGCGTGGCGACGCGTCGCCACGGCATGCGTCGCCACGCCAGAAATTTACGTGCAGCTATAGACGTTTCACAATAAAAAATATTTTGAAGATATGTGAAGTCCGCCAATCCGCAGTGGCGCCGCGTGGTGCACAAGCCCTGGTACCCTCTGTACAGAGGAGGCCTTTGCTCAGCAGCGGGAAATTTATAGGCTGATACTTTAATTTTAGTATAGTTAGTATTTTCATGTCTGTTATAGCCTTAGCACATAGGCCTTATTCCGTAGCATTTTTTTTGTTAAAGGAAAAAGAAACTACAATTCTAAACTTCGGAGGAACCATTTTTTAATTATGCTAGCGAACTGTGAATTCTTCATCGGACTAACAGTTATACGCACGCCTACGCCTTACGGTGTATGTAATTTCAATTGATAGATGATCTAGCCGGCATCGAGGCACTTGAGTTTATGAATGTTACTTCAAATTATTATATATTAATATCGCTCTTCCGGGACTACGGAGAGCCTTATAATTTAAATAAGTATAATTATTAGAGGAACTTTGTAGTACCCAACCATAGTTATCATTAGTACCATGACAACGGAAGAATTCTTAAGTAACGTTATGTAGTAAGCACTTACGAGGTCTTATTCATAATAAGTTATCGGAGATTGTAAAGCTCGTTAAAAACAGATTGTCAAAATGTCTTATTCTTAATCGTTCTATAACGCTAAAACGTTCATTAAATCTCCGATAAAGTGTATTTGATATAAACAACCTAGGACCCTACTATAAACCTTCGATAAACGTATATAAGCGTAATACCACTGTATGTCCAATGTAACGAAGATCGCGTCGGTGTTTTTTTTTTTTTCATTGATTTTTGATAACACGAACCCGCTCTTTCGCCAAATCAAACTTTCAAGACAATCTTAGAAAGCAAAAACAGTATATTTTAGCAGGTAATTCGTGCATGAGAATTATAATGCCAAGTTCTAGACTTGTGAATATAACAAAATTGTAACACCAACTTTATCTTGATCTAGCCAATTTTCACAACTCTGCCTGTTTTAGCATTCATGTTCATTTGCCAGTTGTGTTGCCACCCCGGACTGACCTGCACATTGGTGCAACAGCGAAGACTGTTGCTTGGCCCTATCACAGTATTTTTTTTTAATAAATGATGGCCCTATGGTACTCGGAGATAATGTAGTTGTGCATTTTATTCGGGATCTGAGATTTAGCGGGGTTACCCATTAATCGAATAGAACTACAAAAAAAAGTATAATTTTTGTATTGATTTATTAAAGGTAAAAAATAGTCTTTTAAGCTCCATAAGGTATATATTGACTTGTATTTCAATGATATAATCAAACAATTAGCAACTTTTGAGCAAATAGAAAAGCTTAGAATTTGATATAGATATTTATTTATAATATCCAATAAAAAAAAAACGATGAAAATCTCTTAATTTTGTATTTTAATTTATATTTAACCCTGGTAAAGAGAGCACAGGGAAAGAAAGACGTGGATGAATCATATACAAAATGCTCTATCTTTCAGTGTTATGATATAACGGTTAACGATATGGAAAAAAACGCGATATCTATAACGACGTCGAGAAAGCCATCAATTGTGGACCGTTCGGAATGCTATGTGGCCTTAATGATAACTTAAATTGCCGCCACGTGATGTGGTATTTCTCATTCGCACGGCAAATTAAAAGGCAGACTCCTTGTGTTTATAGCTCAATCATGTTTGCAAACTGCCAGTGTCCATTGAGGTTTTATGTCTGTGACAGATTATGCAAAATTTCGGCTGCGTTCGCTAAACCGTTATACTTTTAAGATGATGTTCAAACTGCCAGATTACGGTTAATTCCTTTGCTGTTTCCACTTGCATAGTGCACGCTTCTATTTTTGGCACGGAGAAAAAACAAGGTCCAATCGGTTAACAGACTGCACCCAATGTGGCTCGGCGCAAAACGCCCGAGAGAAAGTCCGGCACCGGTTGTTTTGACCAAACGCGGCGAAGTGATAGGCAGGCGCGTAGCACGTCCGTTGGTGCACTGCACTCGGTAAAACTTAACTCTGGTAAAAGTCAATTGTTCCCACTTGCCAGCCGACGAAGCTCTCACGATCTAGAACACGGCAAGTCTAGGAAGACAAAGTGCAGTGTACAAAACCTAATATATAACAGCCGGTCATCGTTCGAACTAATATTGAGAAGATTTCGTTTTGGACCTAAACATTTGTCTGTACCGTAGTAGGTTATCGAGTGTGATATCAGTGGTGGATTGCCCAGTTTGGTCTGAGTTTGTGGAATGAATAGTGCCCCAGGCTGCGACAGTGTGACTGTAGTGTAGGTACCATGCTGGCCTCAGCTATGTCGACGAGCCTGAATCGCCACTCGCTGTCGACCATGTTCCAGAAGCGATTGGCCCGATCCAGTCCGGTAAGACTATGAAATGAAGGCAACAATTCCTCACGACTTTAACAGTGACTTTTAACTGAGATAGGGCCGCGCACTGTCTACGCTGTTGCACGAATGGGCAGATCCGTCCGGGAGAGTATCATGGCCTCACAAAGATTCTACACAAGTCTTCACAAAAGACCTATTTTCATTTGATATTCAAATGTCTCGATGTTTAATCTTCTATGAAAAAGAGGAAGTTTAGCCTTAGTTTAGGCTGGCAAGCGGGTGTTCCAACTGGTGATTTGGTTTCTATGGTAATTTGGTACCGCCAAAAAACCTTGTTGTTAAGGTTGGCAACTTGCCAATGTCTAAGAAAATTTGACCTCGGTTATCGTACTCCCCGGGCGAAATGCGAAGGTATAATACTTTCTGCTGCGTGGTCCTATTACAGAAATGTGATCAAGTTCTTTTTAATCAGCCATTAGGTAATAATCTTTTGTAGTTAAAAACCCCGTTAAAATCTGGATAAACCATTAGAGCATTAGACATAACTCAATTACTTTAACCGTATATAATAAAATTAAAAAGTCATTTATTCCGCTAACAGAATAGCGAAAGTGGGCCCCAAACGTATGTGACTGCACCCCATTATACTAATAATTTACATTACTAATTAGCAGCGCAGACATAAGTGGGACTTACTGAGCACGTGCTATTGCCAAGACTACGTGACGGTTTACCGTCGAGTGGGAAGGTGGTCGATCACCGACCAGTCTCCTTTTAATGAAAGAAACGATAAAGGCCCATTTACACGATGCCATTTTCTTGTACATACAAGAGCAATAATTGAATGCAATAAATTGCGCGCAATAATTGTTAAGACCATTTGTTGTTTAGACCATGCAACTCATTTATTGCTTCAATTTAATGTTATACATCAGGCAAGAAACTGGCACCGTGTAAATGGGCCTTTACTCTTGTCTACCGTAACATTTACTTTGAGAGATATTTCGACGCGTATTCCGCCGTCGACTCGGAATGCGAAGAGGCAACGGCGCACTTCGCACGTCACTCGGCGCGCCTCCCCGCCCCGCTCGAGTAATGCCGTTTATCGCCGCAGCGGAGTGGGGTTATTTATATTTACGTCTTGTACGTTGTTGACGATAGGGCTTTGTGATAATTCTATAAATAGGTCTGTGTCTTCGCTGGATGCTCTTTTCGGTTTCAGTCGATTTTTTTAATGTGATAAGTTGGCATACGGGCGGGCGTTTCACCTGATGTTAAGAGACAACCGCCTACGGACATCTACAGCACCTGATTGTACATGCGTTGGCAACCTTTGAAAAAATTGGGCCCCGGTTACCTCTGTGACGTCGTGGTATTATCCGGACGAGTCTGCTCTGCCCATTCGTTTGACAGCAGACGCTGCTGTTGTACGAACTGGCAGGAACGGAACTGTCCAAAGCTTCATCTCCCACAGCACACAGAAATGTCACTGCGGTTACGGGCTTGGTGAGAGGTGCGTGCTGCCCATAATAAGGTCTTCTTACTGAATTCATTATACTTCTGGGGCATAGTTAGTCGCAGCGTATAATATCATATCACCATATCGGGATTCTACTTCTGATAGGTTAAATTTTGTTTTTTTGTGCCCCAATGGTATGGGATTATAATCACTTATAGGGTGGATTATAATCACTTAAAGCAACGCAACGCCTGCCGGGTTCTATCTAGCCAATCCTTAAGAGTAGAACCTATTTGACCCTAGATATAAATAAAATGGTTGATTCCTTGTTTTAGGAAAAATATATTAGCATCTAAAACTGGCCTTGTATGCATGATATTACACTTTGGTGGTGCTTTATGTATTAAAACTAAGGATAAATAAAACTTGTATGTTATATAATAAGTTATTTCACATAGACTAGAACTTACGGCCCGTGTCGCCGGAGACAATAATTGAGGAACTGCGCAAAGGAGTTATCCAATATCGTAGGCATGTCAGTAATGTGATATTTTATTACAGAAACGATTTGTCGTATTCTTTTGGATTGCGACCATGGGCACTCTAATGACCTTGTCGAAACATGCCAACGATTTAATTATATACGCCCGTAAAAAAATTATATCGCACGCGATAACATCTTTTTATCGTATTTTCTGTTCCCATTCCATCCACAGCTCAAGTTAACCGTTAGCTTTTGGTATACGTGTTATTGTAGCATATAACGGTATCGGTTATTTTAATCGTGAAATAAACCATACTAGATAACTGATTGTGTAGGGAAAAGCTGGAAACGTTTGCTAACTTTTTGTTTACGGCATGCCAACTTTGTTTTTGTCGATTCCATTATGTTTTCGTTACTTATGCCATTGGATGCATAATCAGCGGAGGCCTGTAAATGGAGGTAATGGTAATGGTGTTATGGAAGGCACAAGATTTTACGTCATCACGGCCTCTTTGAAAGATACAGTAATATTCAATTCACCGTCTTGTACTCATACTATTTTTGAGATTAAAGCACCCACGACTTTGACATTAAATACAATTTATAATTATGTTATATTTACAACAGAACGTTGATGTACAAGTAGTGTGTATTACATGGAACATCTTATTATTTAAAATTAACCGCCATTGTTTGTATTAGCATTGAATATATCTGGTTCTATAACCATTAGTAAGTTTCTATAAACTCAATTTTGGATTTTGATTCGAAGTTCTAACAATAGACCAGCACTAGATCTATTATTGTTTGGAAAACAATAACACTCAATAACACTCTTCTATTATTCTCTTCGTTTTATTTTCTTTTATTATACTTTTTTAGTGAATTTTTATCAATTCATATTAATAATGTGCGTTTTTTTAAATAACTAATGTCTAGTATATACAACAATGTATCAAAGATGTTGATGTGTCTATATTAATAAATAAATAAATGCATGAAGGGTGTGTAAAGGTTTGTAATATAAGTCGATAAAGCATCTGTAGTTTTATTTTAAGCCAGCTAAAGTGTACTCCAAACTGTCCCTAATTGTCGTAGCTATTGCCGATGCCTGATTTCGCCTAGCTATAAAGTATAGATTAGCCTAGCTATATCTATATTATGGCCGACGGAGCACCACAACTACCCCTTCAAAAGATCTGTCAAATAGACATCGCCGCAGTTCTTGATATTGTTTCGATGACTTGATCGAAACAGACAATTTAGTGTCTGTCCATCGTGATTTCGTCATCACAAAGAAACTCGTTTCGAATGTTATAGAGGTCTAATTATAAAACCCGTGACTACCTGTTTTAACGACCGTACCTTCAATTAAACTGTCATTTACTAACACTTAGATAAAAGAAAAATATATCGCACCTTATGATTATTCCGAACATAAAACTAAAAAAAAAACTTACTGAATTCTTTTTCCTCTTACTTTATAGTTATAACATATTTTTTTAAACCGCCTATTGACTGCAATGTCCAACTTGCGTAATTCAGTCATGGGATAGAATCTTCATCGAATTTCCTTATCCAAAATGTTCGGTTTTTACTTTAAGTGTTTTTTAACTTTTACCTTTAACTTGTGAATTAGAAATCCCGTCTATAGCATTTCTTTAACTCGAACGTAAAATGATGCACTTTAATTATACATAAGATGCATATAATTCCATTTGAATTTTTGAACTTCGTATGCAAATTGGAGAAAGTGAAAGTGTGAGAGCATTGGCGGTTCTTTTTATTTATTTTTTTATTATGAACTGCCTTAATATCTGACTTAAGCATACGACAGTTAAAAAATGTCGCTCCGCCTAGAATTTCGTCCGACAGAAGAAAGTGGAAAAGGTAATGATAAGGAATAATAAGAAGATGGCAAACGGCTTCAAGATCGAGGATGCATCTTGACCTTCAAATGAGTGGGTTGTACACTCACAATACGAACCATGAAAGTGGCATTCTTCCTCTTCAACCTGATGTTCTTGAACTGCTGCGTGGCGCTGCCACAGTTAAAGAATCCATACCTACAGTTCTCAAGGCACAAGTTAACAGAGTATTAAGAGGTTGGTTGATTAGTTGACATAGAGCTAGATCCCTGCATTCCTCTCCACCCAGTCCAAAGCCACTCGATGTTCTTATGCGAAATCGGTTAAAACGACAGGGATCTTGCAGAAAATTCTCACCTGGTATAAACGTCGACCAAATTCTAATTAAGGGAGACGAAAACATGAAAAATTTACGATTAGATACTAAGTTTTTTTAGTACCTTAAAAAAACCTACATGTTAATGGAACGTAAACTCTGGAAACCTAGGCTATATAATTATATCAATAATTTTTGCGATTTGTTATGTGAACAAAATGTGTACTTCTATGAAAGCTAATCACTTCCGTGTAAATGAAGACACCTTTTGCTTTTATGAATATTCACTCCGACTTCCGCGACAAGAAACGGGCCTCGTGAAAGCTTAAGCAAATGACGTGGACATTTCCATTCATCTGGCCATTCAATGTCGAAGCTTCCACGCCTCATGTTAGTCTTGTTGGCCCGCTTCCGTTTTGTCATTCCAATGACATTTTTAACATGACCTGAATTTTGTAACATTATTCTTTTCTTTTGATAATTCTGCGATGTGATGCGATAATTAATGTTTCTCTCTGATTTCGTAATGACTGCTTTGAAAGTAGATACTCGTTTTTGTAGCATTTTGTAATAGTTACTAATGTAGTTTCTCTTTATTTTATAAATTAATATTAGCTCTTGCTTCGATTAACAAATTTACGTATTATTGTTCGCATAAGTGAACCGATTTGCTTGTCTTTTTAACTTTATAAAGAAAAGCTCGATGCTATCCAGATTTCAGATTGCATCATCATTTTAGAAGACTCGCCAAAGATTAGATATGTGACTAAGGTTCATTATTAACGATATCACTGTACTGACGTTTTTTCACGTAATATAGTCTGCTTTGCAACGTACCTTCGATATGTGATGTAGATAAAAGTATTTATGATTCTCGCAAAAGTATTTCAAACAAAATCTCATCAT